TAGGGTCGGCGGACCCCAAGCTGTCCCCACGGCGGACGCCATGTTTTTTTAATGAGCAATCCCAAAATTCGTGGTGAATGATGGGATAATGAGTTGGTCGAGTATAAACCGGAACGCCGTGAATGACGACCCCAATGACCCTTTATCAGTTGAAGTGGGGATGATAAGATTCGCCACAGATTCGCCACATCATCTTGTGGAGAATCACAGCCACACCTTTAGATTTGAGATGTGCGGAGCGTGCGTCCATTCTCGGACTAGCGTCCGCGTACCTATTTATTTGCCGAAGGAAATTTTTCAAATCGTTTCCTTCACTTTTCCATCCTCCCATATCAACACCTACCAGAGGGAGAGCTGGACGCGATGGAATTGTCGCGCTCTCCCCTCTGGTCAGATTCTCTTTGGTAAGCTTTTCACTCGCTCCCCTTCATACTCAATTCTCTGTGATGAACTTCTTTCACGAACAATCCAATGCCGACCTTTCTATGGGGACCCATTATCTCTAGAATTACACTGATTTGATACCATTCCTTTTTTTACGCTTCTGGAAGCGCTTTGGAACGAAATCGCTAACAGAAACAGTTTCTAGATTTGCTATACCACTACATCTGCCGCATGTAAAATTTTCAAAAGGTTCGTGGTCTTTCACTTTTTCTCTCGCGCACCCAATGCCCTCTATATGATGATCAAAACGACACCTTAGGGATTCCTCATACTTAATATATCATGTGGATTACGTTGTAACTAGTTTCAGCCTTGTCTGACCAAATTTGGGCTTCATCTTTTTTTCTTTTGAAAGATATTTTGTGTTCATTGTCATGCTAACATGCAATTCGTCACAGGTAAACACACACTCGGCTTCACTACCAACCCCGCACCAAATATCATGATGAAAGTTTGAACGAACGGGCGGACATATCGAGCCTCAACCTCGACCATCCTTAGACAGCAAGGCGTACAAACCTTGTGGTGGAAGGGGGAGAGATCTCTTGATGACATTTCGTCACCTGACTTGTGTTACCTCATTCTCAAAGGATGAACTTGGACTGTCGATTTGTTATGTACATGGTTAACTAACAACATCAACGTTTAGGTAAATAATTGATGCCATCGTTCCCTGCTCAATAACATGCTCGCTGCGTACTGTGATGAGATGTCCAAAATTGTATTCACACTGTTTGACTCGCAATCTTGTATTGTGGGAAATGAACAAATTTAACACCTTCTGATATTACGGTACGTTCCCCAAACTCGCCGTCCTGGTGTCAGTTCTTGAGAAGCTAACTCTATTAATCAGTCGCGAGCATTGTTCAACCACCAAATGACACACCTGTGCTGGCTGAATGCATTGCTAACGTTGAAGTCAGGTAGGAATTACTGACATTAGAACTGTGCCATCTTGCAATGAGGGTAAGCTAATAATCTCTTTTCCCCTCTTTGCACTCTTCACACAAGCCATCTCGGCCATGTCACATGATGATTCCTACCTACATATCTATCAACCTTACTGAGTTCATCTTGATGAACAAATTATTCACCTTGGAGAACTGATCTCGTTTCCACTGCACTCATGCACAATTCCTATATCCAAACATGGAAAGCAGAAGCTAACATAAGCTTCACTAGAATCAACCTCTCAGCAAAAATAGTATCGGCTGCTGGGGATATAGAGACGGAATACATATAAAATATACTTTTTTTTCCATTATCTTATTTTCATTTGGTGTATCTGAGTGCATGTCACGCTGTCCCATCATATAAATCATATCCAATCCAAAAGTCCAAGCTCCCCCCTATTTCCTTTGCCGAGAGTCACCTGGTTCATTGACTGTGCTGCAACTTGGCGTTCATACCGACAATGCAGCGAATCAAGTCCCAGTCCCCGTTGGCACCAACCCAGTCGGTCACCACCACACCCGTGCCGGCAGCACCGACGGGCAGCTGGTTCGGGCCCTTGCCCTCCTCGCCGTGCCTGATGCAGAGGTACTCTACAATCGCCGGGTTCACCTTGGCGGCGATGCGCTCGGGCCAGCAGCTGGCGTTGAAGAAGTTGCTGGCGCTCAGGAAGTTGACGAAGATCGGCGGGAAGCCCGCGCCCTCGTCGCCCAGCGGGTAGCGCTGCTCGGCGGCGCGCTCGAGCTGGCCCCGGGAGAAGCTGATCTTCTTCTCGACGTTCTCCGTCTCCGACACCTCGTAGAAGTCCTGCACGCGGATGAAGCCGTCGCCGATGTGGCCGTCCTCGCAGTTGTCGGGCCACCCGGCCGCGTCGATGCCGAACCCTCGGCCGTCCCACTCGTGCTTGAGCTCCTCGTCGAGGTTGAAGCGGCGGACGAGGACGATGCGGCCGCGCACCTCGCCGAGGCGGGGGACGCGGGGCTCGGTGGCCCAGCGCTCGGGCTTCTTGTCGATGTAGTTGCCCTTGAGGTGCCTGCTCATCTGCTCGTCGTTGGCCTTGCCGTTGCCCTCGCGCTTGACGCTCATGATGACCGTCTCGGAGCCGTTGTGGTCGAGGAAGTCGTAGATGTCGTCGAGCATGTCGCCAAAGTACTTGGTGCCCGTCAGGGAGACGGGGAAGGCGCTGTGGACGAGGCTGAGGGTGGGATCCTCGGGGTCGGCGGAGACGCGGATGTCGAGGAAGCGCACGCCGTTGTCGAGCTGCTCCCGGACGCTGACGGCCTGGCAGCGGACCGAGGGCAGGGCCTTGTGGCAGGTCGGGGAGTTGTGCGTGCCGGGGATGGAGAGACTGCCCAGGGGCCAGTCGTTGTGGAGCTTGTCCATCCAGGAGTTGAGGCTGGAGGAGGAGTAGATGGCGACGAGGGCGCCGTTGGGGACATAGACGGCGGTGAGCTCCTCGTGCGTCTCGGGGTCGATCCTCTTCATTGTGCTGGAGCGCTGGTCGGGGCTGGGGATATCGACCTCGTGGCGCTTGTCCTGCCACCTGAAGATCAGGCGGAGGATCTCGCGATCGCCGTCCGCGGTGCGGATATCAGTCTCCTGAGTGCGGAATGGGTCGGCATGGAAGCTGACATCGTGCTGTTCTCGGGAATCGCCCGTGACAAGTCTGCTGGACTGGTGCTTGGTGGCGTTGAAGAAGCCAGAGATGTGGCCAACAGCGTTGCTGACGACGTCACCTGTTCCCTCCCTCTTGGACTCGAACCTCTCTATGCTGACGAGCTCAATTGGGTGGATGGTGAGATTGCGAATGGTGAGGTTGGCCATTGTTGCGGATTGGAAGAGGGGCGGCGGCAAGGCTGAGCTTGAGAGGTCGAGCTAGAGGATAGCTGTCTACACAAGAATGCAGCTGGGTGTGTCGCGAATTGGATTGGGGTGGGAGAGAGACGACGGAAGGGGAGGGGGTGTGATGAGAAGCTATCTATCTATATACAATGCAGAGCTAGGCTGTTCGCAAGACTAGCAAAAAGCTGTCTCGAGGCCAAGCCTGACCAGTGTCCATGCCTCTGCGGGACACGCGGCTGGAAGGAGGGGCAAAGGGTCCTTTGGGCTGGTAGAGCTGAAAGTGGAGAGACCTGTTACAGTTCAAGAACGAGGGGTGGAGACTGTGCCGTGCCATTGAGCCTGTCTGAGGGCCGTCCGCCAGCTCTGAGAGGGAGGACTCGGCAAGGGGGAGGCGGTGGAGGATCCGGTCAGGTCAGCCTGCAGCACATCTGAACACTGGATGCGGCAGAGCAATGTGATAGCACGTAATATTGATCTCGGCGGTTACGACCATAATGCAGGTCTTACAGGCTGGGGATAGGAGGATCTACGGTGGGCTGTCAGAGGAGGGCTAGTCGATAAGATAAGCACATTGCCCCGCGTCCATTGATCGAAGCCATCAGCTCGCTAAAGAGGCCTGATTGAGAAGGGTAGCCTAGCTTGAACCGATCATTCGACAGCGAGGTTCCCATTCTAGGGGATAGCTAATGGGCCTCCCTCCGTGGTGTCTTCGATAGACCCATAAGGAATGCGCATCATCTCATCCCTCGCCCCATTAGGTGCAACCCTACTTGGCTGCCTCCCTCTCCAGCCAGCCTGTTTTGGATGAGTGGCATGAACGTCAAGTAGCTTAATTTCGATGGCTACCAAACGGTCCTTTTTCAATTAGTTTAATCATCTGAAAACGGTAAACTGTATTGTCATTGCGATGGTTCCTGCATGATCTTTGAACATGCGATTAGCGAGGCTACATGAACTACCCTTGTCAAATAGTATCCAGCGTAATATAGGCCATGCATGTTTCATCAACCAGACAACATTTCTCAATAGCTTGGCCGGCGGTGTAGCAATAACAATCACTTGATTCATTCATACAGAGGACTGGAGTCGACCAAGCACATACATACATTCGCTAGATACGAGTCTAGTCCCTCTCCATCATTGATAGGTGTGTGCCCTAGAAATTGAATTTGCCTAAGGTAGGGAATGGGAATAAGCAGAGGACGTACCTGTTAGTGTAAGGCTAAGCACGCGGCCGTGGGGACATATCTAAGCTAGTTTTTACAAACGCGGAAGCACTAGACAGCTTGTATAGACATCCAACGCATTCCTTGGGTGGTTGGACGGGTAGTCAATAGAGTATTCTTCGGAGAAACAGCTCCTTATGGGGTGGCGAACAAATGATGGCCATGAGATTGGAGATAAATTATATTTTTAATTTTCATCTAGTCGTGTATGGATCTGCTGAAAGTACTTGCGTTTGGAGCACAATGAATAACTTTCGTATACTAGTAAAGTAGAGACAGATTGTTTCTGTGATATTCTCATTCCAAACGATAGGCTAACACTCTCTGGTCCTATCCAAACCGTAGAGAAATCCTGACCCCCCGACGATTACATCCCGAAAGGACACCAACACTTTCAACGTGGGATTGAGAATCATTTGTTGCTTGAGAAAAAAGAAAGAAAAAAAGGAGAATGAAAGATAGGAAAAGATAGAGGTAAGGCCACAACATTCTTTAGGGCCTGAGGCGAAGTGATATTTCATAGCATAGATAATCGGATTACTCAGATCGTCTACGCTTGGCGCCGTCACTTGAGGACTCGCCCTCTTCGTCCTCGGCTCGGGGTCGCCTAAGGCACACTGTTTTTTGCTCAAGCCGCTCGTTACGCTGGCGAATAGCCTCAAGAATGACGCTCTCGCTTCCGATGATGTTGCCTTCGCCTTCGACAACGAGACCCGCGTCGACCTCGAGCCTGATAGGTCTTGGGTTTCCGTTGCCATCAATCATGGGAAGTCCACAATTGCCTGCACTGTGCTTTTTGATGGCTGAGGTCATGGCTTCGGCGATGGCATTGGCGTGGCTAGATGGGTTCTCCGACAAGCAGATCAGGTTATTGCTCTTGTTGATGGTGATCGAGGTGTTGATCCGCAGGTTAAGTGGTGCACAGGGCTCATCATCATCTTCCATGGTCTCGTTTTCGTTCATGAGCTGTGCTTGAATGGCGCGTGACAGGGCTGCTGTAGAGGGTTCTAGAGCCAGGCGTTGAGCAAACTGGTTAAGCTGGACGCCTCTGGCTGTCAATGCCGATCGATTTCTTCCCGACCTTGGTGAGTAGGGGGGAGGGGCACTCGTGGGAGGGGGGCCGTCCTTGGCAATGTCGCGTCCTCGGCCTGGCTGGGACATGTTGTGTGATGAGGAGGTATAATCAAGTAAGAATAGTTGGAATAGGTGAATGAATGAAGAAGAAGAAAGCACGAGTCAACTTAATGAGCCCGGAGAAAGTAAGAATTTGGTCTCAGAGACAACTGGTGCTTAGAAGATGGATAGAAATGATGAAGATAGAGGTCACAAAAGTAGTTGATGAAGCGTGTCGGTCAGATGGTCTTTTATATGTGAGGAGGGGAGGTTGATATGTGTGAAGTCGGGAAGTTGAGAATGTCCGAGACTAGTCGCCGATGGAAAGTATGTTTCTTGCAGGTTCTGTACGAGACAGGCACGAGAGAAACGAGTTAGGTCAATATCGTTGATTGATGATGATACCGTTGCCGACAGGGTGGGTTGACACGCGGGTAAGAGAATTAGCCTGGCCGCTGGGGCTATCAGAAAAGCTTTGCGCCACCAATCTCTCGAACCACGCGGGTTGGATGGAGGGTATGTGGCACGAGGGCGCGTGTTGGGGTTCTACCCGATTCAGGAAAAGCTGGACTGGATTCGATTAGGAACTCCTGGAAGGTAGGTTCGCAGGAGGAATGGTGTGGAAGAGTGATCTATTGATCAATGCAACTCTGAATCGAAGCAGTGTATAGAAGAGATTTAAGCTCAGGTAATCCCAATGAGAGTGTTGGATGTTGAGGATATAGAAGAGTGAGAGAGAAGGAATGTAGACAGAGAGGGAAACCCATGGGTATATATATGCATTTCCATCAGACTGACCCCCCTTCCGGCCGCATAGAGAGACAGGAAATGGTGAGGCGAATGAGCCCTTGTATCACAGTGCAAAAGGGGAAGTGAATCAGAGGGCATACGCCATGACAATACACCACTTCTAGTCTATTCTGCAAAGTATATGGGCCCATTACTCATGCAGGTGAGATCGCTAATGGAGAGATCTGGGGGGAGTGAACGCAGACATGCTTGAATGGGGAGGCGGCTGGACAGGGGTCGCCCAATACCTCTGGCGCCGTTGAATCAATCATCACACCATCCCATAAGACACATCATCGTCACATTGGAAACGTTGTCTCATGGTCTCACTCGAGACGTGAGAAATTCCCTCGCTTTTTCCGCGCAGGACCGTGCACCCAGCCGGAGAAGCTTGTCGCTGCCAGCGTTTAAGGTTGTCCGCTCAGTGGTCCTGGCACGTAGAAACCGGAAGCCAAGCGTCACCAGGTGGCTTTGGAATGAGGGAACGGCATCAATGGAGGAGACACGCCCCCTCCCTGTCTCTCACAACACCATGGCGACCTGGTAGGTGAGAAAAGGCGTCCCCACCCTCAATGTGTATAATGGGATCAATGAAGCTCCAGACCAAGGATTCGCTGCAAAGCCGTAGTATTGTTGATCAACGGGTGAGACAGGCCAAGGCCAGGCCGACATGGGCCCAGCCCCAACCAAGTGTGGATTGTGCCCAAGCCTGTTCTTCGACGTCAGTTCCTCTCATGCACGACGTCGGGCGGAGAGTGCTCATCTTGCCCAAAGCAATAGCGCCAAGCTCACATGCGAAACTAATGTACCGCGTCGGATGAGGGAGCGGCGCGGCAGTGAGCTATGTCCAGCTTCTGCCTCTGGCCCCCGCCGGTGGTTGGGCCCTCCTCTAGCAGCTCTCCGGTTTCCTGGGTACCCGAACCCATATAGCCCAGGCACGCCTCGGTGCAGGTCCGTGGCCGGGTCCAACCTGCCTCAACTGCCTCGCACTTGCCGTATGTCCTCAGAACTGGCCCTTCGCTCGCACCTGCCGAAGGAGCAGCGCAAGGCGGGAATGGGCAGGAGGCCTCTCGTTCATCGACGCAATGACACCCCCTTTTCCCTCTTTTCTCTTCTCCGCTGGGCCACGAAACTCCATGCCGGTGACCCAGGTGGCTGCTACAGCTGGTGGAGACTGCGGAAGATGGAAGCTATTGTCGTCTGCAGCCGTTCCTATTGTTCTCTGCAGGTGTGGTGGGTCCGACTCTATTCATCACCCACCAGGGCTTAGCGGCCGTCTCCCGGGTCTCCACCCCACCGAGTACTCGGGGTATTTCCACTTTCGGATCCCTGAAGGTCCCCAGCCAGCTGAAGCGCTTAGGCCATTGAACGTCTCTTTGGGGGTGGTTTCACTTCTGCAACGATGAGTCGCCCATTGAGATGCCCGTTCCTATTCTTTTGTTTTTCAAACCCCCCGTCATTCTTGCCTGACCGCATTTCTATTCATTGAATCATGCGCTGCTGACCCCCCGCGGTTGTCGGGATGGTAACATCCAAGCATCCGAGTTTCATTGTATTACTCATTCCACGTTGCATCGAAATCTTTAACAATCTACCATGCAAGCACAAAGGCAAATAAACATGCACATGATAAGGACATGCAAAGAGGGTGACATGGGCAGAAAGAGCATGAATGAGCGCAACCCTCGAGATTGTCCATTGCATAATGCAGTGTCTCACGCAGACCAATCATGGGCATCCAGAGCACACGATCCGACCGGTCAACTCACCCTTCCGAAACAACTCTCTTCCAATAGCAAGCTCCGGAGCTCGAAGCAGCCGCTTGTCGTATGTCACATTATTAACTTTGAACTTTTTTTCCCAGGCGAGGCAAGGCATGCGGACGAGGGGGGGCGGTTAGCCTCTAGCCGAATTCCTCAACGGACCAAAAACATCCAAAGACGCTAGAGCGAGGCTTCCTGTCTGAACCTGAACCCTCCTCGGGTCGAAACACCCTTGCGGGCTAGACACACGAAAAAAGCGAGTATTTCGAGAGCTCTACGTGGACTGGACTGGAATGGAGGGGCGTGGTCGAGGCTGCGGCACCAGAACACTAAAGCAAACCCTTCCCCCCCATCACGATCATGGGAGGGGGGGGGGGGCAAAGTGCAGGACAAAAGCCCGGAAACTGACATTATGGGTAGGCGCTAATAACCTATTGTTCTTATTTACGGCAAATCAATCACGGCTCATGGCTGCGCCTAGCCCCATCCTTGGCTTTCCTTGGCTCCCCCCCCGTTGGGCGCGCCCATCGCTGCTCGGTGTCGCCATACTTTCTCGCCAAAATCCCTCTTTCTGGGCTGGGTTGACCCATGGACGGATCTTCGCACCCCTAGCAAGGAGGAGGGCCAGCAAGCGGGGACCAGTCGCTCGGGAATCGTGAAATCCCAAGGTAGTGGGTAGACAGGACGGTCCGCCCGCCCAGCTTTCCCAATGCTCTGGGAAGAGTTAGCCACCAACGGACTTCGTCTGCCACGAGCTTGTGACGCTAGAGCCGCTGAGCGAATGGGAAGAGATGGGTGAGAGTGGGAAAGAGGGAAAAGACGACCTCAAACGCCACGTCGTATATATCAATCTCCTTGACGTATTCCCGAGTTCGTCCTGAGGTGGCCAACCAGCTGAGGTAGACTCGAACCCCCTCCCACATCCGTCTCAGTCGGTCACCGACTGTGGCCCTCTCGAGACCGGGGTGCTTCTGGGTAGTTCAGCTCTGGCGAGATCGGACCTCATCTCATTATTGTGTCTGGCGCTGGGCTTGTGCGCGTGGCCTCCCGACTTATGCTCCCGCCCGCATACGTAAGTGCGGTCCCTCTTGCGGGCCATCAATCAGATGATACCTTCAGATATCCGCGTGAAACATATCTCGTAATGACCTTTTGCAATAAGAAGCCAGAGCAGAAGCGTTGTACTGATGGGAACCAACGGTCTCCCGACTCAACTCAATTGTCTTCTACCTAGATCATATTGTGCGTGTGAGATGAAACACCGGGGCTGCAGCCTTCCACAGTGTCGCCCTCCCCAGCACGGCATATTCCGCCAGCCACCATTGAATAGACCATCTGGAAGCTTGCAGACAGCTGGGCATCCCAAAATATTACTTCACGCCAAGGGCGGCAAGTCCAGCCTGGGAGGACGCATGGACTCGGGTGCAGATCGCTTACGAACAATTCAAGTGAGACAGGCCCATCTACCTGCCGTATCGAACCTATTCACATCGGAGATCCTATTGTGTACCGCAGCAGCAGGTGTACCAAAATGCCATGACATGTACCGCAGTTTTGCTTTTTCCCTGCAGCTAGGGCAGTGACCAGCCAGTCCATGGTCGAGTTGAGGGCTGAAGGAGCAGGCCAAGTCCTGGAAGCTCGTAATTATTTGAGTGTGATGCTGCATTAGCAGCATATTACAAGTGATAGGTACACCGCCACAAGCCATTCTTGCTGCATGGTTGCCCATCACTTTGGCAAAAAGGTGCACTTTTATGCATTGTGTCGGTTCGAGTGTGCTCGCATTTGTGTATCGTGCGTCGATTGCGTTCATCAAAGGAACGAGGTGGTTCAAGCCTCGGCTGTCTTTTGAAATGCGTTATGCTAACAATGTCATCGGTTAGCCGGGTTTTGTGTAGACAATAGGACGATGACGTGCTCTCCTCACGCTGTTTAAGTTAGAAGTTAGTAGCCCGTTTGCTCATGGGGAAATGTGCAATAGAGATCGAGGGACGAAGGATGGGTGGAGAGACTGAAATGCATAGTCAAGACAGAAAAAAGGACAAAGACACTCGAGGGAACTGATCTTTGAGCCAACTCATCCCCATCAACGGGAAGTGAATTAATTAATATGGTGCTACCAGTCTGACATCTATCATTACGATAACTACTGATTAGAAGCATCCGAAATGACTTCCCGAGCGACTCATGTGCTTCGATCCTGCCCTTCCACCTCTGCTGGGGCCATAGATGTCGCAAATGTAGCTCGATGCGAGGTTGGGAAGAGATGTTGAATATCTCTTTCATCTTCGCCCCTAAAGGCGTGAAGCGTTCCCCACTGAAGCCTCAAAACCAAAGGGTATCTCAGTGCAGAGTTGTGCCTCTATTGGACCGGACCTTTTTTTATCCATTCCTCCGTGCAGGGGAAGTAAATACCTGCCGGGGTAACCGAACTCCTGTCTCTGTTGAAAGACGCCGCTCACTCCGTTCGCTGTGTATCATGAAAGACCGAATCGG